GGCCCCCCCTGTTCTTCAATTTTTTTATATATTTTACTTTCGCCCCCCCGAGTCAAATGTTCAAGCTCCGTCAATGCTTAAGATGAATATTGTCAAAAAGACAATCATGATCGTAGAATTGTATGATCTTACGATGGTACCGATAAAAAATAATATCGATCTTAATATCATTAAGTCGAGAGTAAGATCAACATATGATTGTAAGATCGTTAAAAAATCATAAGATTGTTAACAATATTATTATATTAAAATTAATAAAATAATCAATAAAATGGTATTTAGCTTTATAAAAAAACAAATATAATTGATATTTGGATTTTATAATTTACTTGGAGGCTCTTCTCATTTTAGTTAAATATTTAGACTAATTTTACTTTAAATTAGAAAATTAGGATGATGTATCATTTGTATGTTAGATTAGATCAATAGATTTACAGTTTTTGTTTTCAATTTATCATTCATGTTTTAATATTTTGAGGTATGTTAATGGATTAATATGGACTATGATATAAATTTTTTTGTATTATATGTTTTTACCCTATGTTGGAAACATCGAATTATTATCCTCTAAAATTTCTAGTTCAACATCAAATCATTTTGTGAATTTGAATTATAGTTAATCTTTGATGTAAATTACAACTAATATGAAAGAAATTATTTATTTTGGTATGGCCTCGAATCTAAGATTCAAATTATATGTGTCTGATTATGACAAAATAAATAAATTGAAAAAATCGGTTATATAGTTGGGTGTTGTCAATAATACAATTTAAGGCAAGCACGACATATTGATATTAACTTTAATATAATAGATCTAACGTACTTTATAAAATACTAGTAAATTTGGTGCGCGATTACTTCTGTCGCCACCTTCACGGATTGCTTCGATTCTTTGCGCATTTCATTTGTTCGAAAAAGGTGGTTGATTTGATGCCATTTTGGTTACGGCTTGGTGGAGTCTATGGTGATTTCGTAACAATTGCGTCTATGATAGAATTAGACCTCATAAAGACATAATCTTCGTTGCTATTGTTGTCTATTTTCTTTAATATATTGAAAACATAAATTTCATATTGATTGGAACTTGTGGATGCAAAATCTTATTTTTTTTTTCCTTGTAATTAGTTTTAGGCGTTCCCACCAGCTCCTTTCTAATGTGTTTTTTTTTATAATTAAATTCAGCCGTTAGAAAAAATACTAGTAATTTTTTTTAACTGTTTGCATTGATGTATTTAAATTTTGAAAATAATTAGGGAAGCTTTGTTAATATGTACGATGAGCCCATTAAAATTCATCAATTGAACACTTATCTTATCCGCACAAATCATTCTTTATAACTTCATTTTTGAAAAATACAAGTTCCAATCATGTTTAACAAATAGAAAATTAAGACTATTCTAAACTAAATATAAATTTAAATTTTATAAAGTAATAATCAAGTAAAATAACTTTTGAGAAAATATGAAAAGAACTTTATTATTTCTAAGCTTTTAAACTTTTACTTTTACGTTACAAAAGTAAGTGTTTCAGAATGTTTTTCAAAATAACTTATTAACTTATTGGTTTTTTTAAAAAGACAATAATAAAAAATGTTTGGTAAACACCAACTTTTTAAACAAAAACGACTTTTCCAAAAGGTCAAGAATTCATGACTTTTTCGAAGAATCAATAAGTGAAAAATGCTCCCAAACATCCTCTTAAACTTGACTTGACCTCTAGCAAGTAGAATTACTTTTGCTTTACATTTACTTATTTTGACTAAATACGAACATAGTAAGGGAGAAGATACTTCAAAGATAAGGAGGCCTAAGACTTGGGGGAGTGGCTACGACCTCTAACGCACTTCTAATACCACGTAATCCGGAACACCGACCCTTGACTGCGGTTAGTAGGGATGAGAGTGGGTCCAAACCCGGACCGGTAGACCCGGACCCGGAAAACCCGGGAACCGGTTAATGAGATTTTTTAGGACCGGAAACCGGATCGGTATATAGGAACCGGTTCCGGTTCGGTTCCGGGTAATGTACTGTGTAAAGTGAGTGTAGAACCGGAAAACCCGGAAATATCAAAATAGGCCGAATGGAACCGGGTAAAGTGGGTTTAAAACCGAAAAACCCGGGGAACCGGGTAAAGTGGGTCGAATGCATGTTTTAAAATTTCACAAAATACAAAAATAAAGCTGAGAAAAAAAAATTCGCAGCTTTGATATCCCAACTTTGGGAGACTATAAATCAATGAATATGAAACTAAAAATGACAAAATTATAGTCTAAAATCATGTACAAACTTTATACTACACTTTGGAAAAAACCGCATGCTATTCCGACATCAAACGAATTAAATATGCATGTTTTAAATCTATCACAAAATACAAAGAAAGCTGAAAAACATAAAATTTTCAGCTTTGACATCCCAACTTTGAGAGACTATAAGTCAATGAATAAACACCCAAAAATAATAAAATTATAGTCTAAAAACATGTACAAACTATAAACTACACTCTGGAAAAAACCTCATGCCAATCCGACTTCAAACGAATGAGATATGCATGTTTTAAAACTATCACAGAATATAAAAAAAGCTGAAAATATAAAATTTCCAGCTTTGATATCCCGACTTTGCGAGACTATAAGTCAATGATTATAAACCCAAAAATGACAAAATTATAGTCTAAAATCATGTACAAACTATAAACTATACTATGGAAAAAACCTCATGCCAGTCTGACTTTAAACGAATGAGATGTGTATGTTTTAAAACTATCATAGAATACAAAAAAAGCTGAAAACATAAAATTTCCAGCTTTGATATCCCGACTTTGAGAGACTATAAGTCAATGAATATAAAACCAAAAATGATAAAATTATAGTCTAAAATCATGTAAAAACTATAAACTATACTATGGAAAAAATCTCATGCCAATCCGACTTCAAACGAATGAGATATGCATGTTTTAAACTTTCCATAGAAACCGGTTCCAGCCCCTAAAACCGGTTCTGGTTCCTAACACGGTTCCGGTTCTTAAACCCGGTTTACCCGGACCCGAAACCCGGATTACTCGGAACCCGGATAGAGCCATTCTTTAAACCCGGACCCGGACCGGTTTTACATATTCCGGTTCTAACGGTTCCGGTTCCGGTCCGGTTTTCCGGTTCTAAATCTCATCCCTAGCGGTTAGGGTGCGGCCAGGGTCGCACTTCGGCAGTAAAAGGGAGCGTTTGTTTCTTGAATCTGATTGGTCGGCTGTTTTTTGACCGTTTGGGAAGGTAATAAAATTCAAAATTATTTTTATTATTTTTTTACCAACTCTATAAATACATGACATTTTTAACCAAACTAACTCACAAGCACTTCGTATTTTACCATCCTTTTGTTTCCAAAACCTTTGAAAATGTCATCCTCTAAAAAACGTTATGCTAATCGTTTTTAATTTTTAGTTTTTTTCTAAGTTTTTAATCGTTTGATGTGTGTTTTTTTTTAAGTTGTAGGTTTAATATTTCTAGTTTGCTTTTTTTTTAAGTTATGTAATGTAATGAAACTTTTATTTTTAATTAATTTTTTATATCTTTATTACTTATTATGCAAATTTGGTCAAAGGCTGAATTTTAAGAGGTACAACCCTTAATGCATTATGTACACTCATTTTATGCATCAAAGAATCCTAAATCTTAATTTGGTCAACATTTGAAAAAGTCATAATCCATATTTGAATTTATCAATTATAAGATAAGATTGACCGAGTATTCCATGGCCATTGAATCGGTCAGCTTCTTCTTATAGACACCCCCAAATTAGTTGAAAGTTAAAAGACTCATTCAAATAAAAAGATAATAAATACGGTAGAAATAAAGGAATTTGTTACTTCAAAGTTTCATATTTATAGCTCTTTCAAATTCCAGATTCAATGTTGTTGATGGTTTTCTTTGTTCTTAGATCTATAAAGATTTTACTTACCGCTATTTATTTCTTTTCCATGTCTCTGTCACACATCTAAACCTCTTTTTTTTTGTGCAGGGAACGATCTCAGGAAGGATGGTGTAAGAGTTTTTCTCAGTCACCCACTTTAGATACATCTATTCATTTTGAACTTTGAATACACATCTCATTCTCTCCTTCATCCTAACCCTAACCCTAGACACAATGGTAGAGCCACCTACTGGACCATTCACGCCCGAGCTCACACCCATAACCCCACATCTCATATCAAGCACCAATACGACTACTCTCTATACCGACTCCTCTGCCATTCGTCTCTCTCTAAAGCGCTCCAACCCGCCGCCGCCCTCCGTCACCAACATTTTACCAGTCACGACACCACCTTTAACATCAATGATAAGTGCACCACGATCATTGTCTTCTTCATCTCTCTATTCATAAGAAAAACCCTAACCATGTATGTGTGTTTACAACTCCGAAATGAGAGGAAATGAAAAGACGAACCCAAATAAAAACTTGGTCGGCTAGAGGTTAGTTTCTCACACTGATCTTTTATTTTTCTCCATTATTCTGGATTTTACATGTTTGTTTTGTATTTTTCATATGTTTGCAGGTAACTCATATTTTTAATCCATCAATTCGTCAATCTTTTAAGCAAATTAGATTAGTTTACAATGCTTAATATGTGGCAAACCCGCTTTCTGTTATAACAAATCTGAGAGAAATTGGTTATTCGGGGTTTTTTTTGCAGATATGTTCCGTTTGGTGTTGGTATGTCATGCTCTGTTTTTTTTCCGAGATATTGTCTCTATGTTTGTGCGTGTTTAGTTGTTTATGTAAATCTGATAGTAGCTTTACATAGATATCTTCTTATCTTTTCGATTTCTTAGAATCTCTTGCATTTGTTAATCGTATTTTGTGGACATTGATAAAAACCTGTGAAAGTATCAATTTTTTACAATAAGCGAAGACCTGCTGTCAAATAATAAGCTGCCATTTTTTTGTGGAAATTGTCTCCCTTGCATCTGAAAAATCAATTTTGAACCCAATGTTATGTTTGAACATATTGACAAGAAGCTGACTTTTCAGGGTGGTCAGGTATCTCTTTTTCAATTGCAATCTTTCCGATATCATTACTTCACTTTGTTCATTTCTTATATCAAATGTTGACACTATTTGACTCCAAGCATGTTTCTGGTTTGAATTGCTCTATTATTATAGTTTTAACACTAGGATATCATTTTCTTTCAGAAACCTCTTAAGGTTGAAAATATCACTATTGAAACTCCAACTTTTACTGTTATATGTGGTTTCATACACTCAATACTTGGTGGTTTTATTTTGTTTGTTGTAGAAAAAGGATTGTTTTATTCTTCAACCACCCACCCTTTACTCTCAATCAGTTCCTGTACCCCACCCATTCTCTTAGTCTTTTCCTTCTTTTTGCTATAGAAACACACACCATCACAAACATAATTCATTGCTATATTAGACAAGTTGACATATTCGTTATGAATTAACTGCTATGTTTCTTTTTTTGTTTTCACAGGTTCACATATATGTTTCCTGTTATGGTCTTACTGGTCTCATAGGTCCATTTTACCCCTGTCGTCTATAATATTTTATTTTTCTAAAAGTAATCGGCCGTTATACCCCTACCACCTAAATTTGTTGTTGTGTTTTTGTGTGTATATATTTATTCAGTTTAAACAAATATATAATCTTGCTTTCAGTTTCTTCCCAAAATAACATCCTACTTTTAATTAAAACCATTCTTTTATTGGGTTTGGGAAATTTACTTGACGTCTGATTCGTGCAGGGGAAGATTATGGACATTTATCAGATGGTCTTAGTGTAAGTACTACATCTTTTGGGGTTTGATTGGAGATTTGGACATTTTTACCCCTGAGATTGTTAATTTGATTTTTATTAATTGTTGTGTTTGGTTTACTATTTAGTTGCTGGGATTTTTTAAGGGATCAACTCTTTCTGCTTTCTTGGTTGGTGGACCTTTGGGTTGTGGTTTTGTTGGTTGTTCAGAGAGAGTGTCAAGTAACGTTTTTTTTCCTAATTGTATATGTTGTTTTTCTTTGGAATTATCTTAATAAATTTTTGATCGATAGATTTTGTTGCAAGTGGCTGGTGGGACTCATTTCATGTGGCTACTAATTGATTGGTACAGGAAGGATTTTCGTATTAGGAAATGGTTAAATCATTAGATGTGGATCGGTTGAATTTTTTTGTATTTTTTTCTTTATTTTGGATTGTAATTTTTTGAACTTTTTTATTTATCAATTTGTAGAGGCTCGGGTCTCTTAAGAAAAAAGCAACATTTTTTCCCTATTTTTTTTATTTCCTGCAACTGTTATTAATGAAAATGCACATAATGGCATTGTTGTTTTGTTATACCATCCGAAATTCAAGGAATAGCATACTACTTTTGATTTTGAAAGTACATCGTAGTAATCGTAAAAAAAAACATAAGTAAAGTGCTATGAAAAGTACATATAAATGATACAATAGATTCCAGTTGGATGTAGTAATCGTAAAAAGCATAAGTAAACTGCTATGAAAAGTACATATAAATGATACGATAGATTCCAATTGGATTTATGAACAACGTTTGTCTCTTCGTCTTTAGTTATTGGATTGTTGAATGTATATGATCTTCATTGATCTTTGAATCCTGAATCATTTGTTTGTGAATGGTTGATGTTTAATGGTTAATTGGGCTTAATCTAATTATTTTAGAATTTAATATTAAGTCGGTTTTTTCTGGGTCAGTTGCCACAGGTTCAACTGTTTTTTTTTATTAATTCGGTCGTTTCATTTGGGGTAGTAAATATGCAAAGATCTTCTTCTACTTGGCTCGATCTTTTCACCGAGTCACGATCCAACCGGTTCGACCGATCGCGCCGACTTGGGTCTTATAACACTCATAATTATTAGTAATTCAATTTATAATAGACTAAAAATATTTAAATTTTACATGAAAGAAAATTAGAAATGTGGCCCCTATTATATATTTTTAATTTTAGTTTAAGATCAAAATAGTTAGTTTTAAAAAAAATAAAAACATGGGTAGTTTGAAAAATGTATTTTATGGTTAAACACTAAAAGTTTATTATTATTTTTAAATAAAACACCACATGAAGCTTTTAATTATATTAAAACCGAAACAACAACATACAATTTATTTTTAAACAAATCAACAATATAACTTTATTTTAAACCCAAAACACAACATATATGATTAATACTTTTAGTGTTGAATGGTATTTTTTATAGTGTATTTTTTCGAATATGACATGCTTCAAATTTTTTACAGAAATGAAACTATTCGTTGTCTGCAAGCAAGAAACTAATTGTCGTTGTTGCATCGCGCGAGTACCAATCTAGCAACATACTTTTATTTTTAACCAAAAATAGCAACATAAATTATAGATATATATTTTAATGATAAATGATATATTTTCGGTGCATTGCATCTTCTCTTATTTAAATATGTCATGTTCTGCGAAGAAAACTACATGCTGATGCATTGCATGTTCTTCGTAATATGACATGTTTTCGAAAGAAACTAACCAGAAAAAGATAACTATTCTCCGAAAACTATTCATCGCACCCACATTCAATGTCCACCGTTGAATTGAAACTAATTATTATCAGCCGAAAAGATACTTATGTCAATTAAGTCCCTATCAACAGACTTCATTTTCCTTGTGGTTTTGATATACATTAATGAAATCGTTGAATTGTCACTAATGTTTGGTCCCTATGGTTCCAAATCGTTGAATTGAAACTAATGTGTGCTGATACTTACTAATACATTATGTCTTATTTTTAGTATGACATATTTCCTAAAACAAAGTAATAACATAATTGAAAGTAATTATTGTCTGCTGAAAAGAAACTAAATGCCGAATCATACATGTTTCCAAATAAAAATAATTGTCGAAAGAAATTATTTGTACCCGTCGCTTGGCGCGGGTAAACGACTAGTATATATATATATATATATATATATATATATATATATATATATAATAAAGTTTTTATTTATTAAAAAAGAACCCAAGTGTGGCACCACTCATTGGATGTGACAACAAACCATACTTTTATGGTAAAAACACAAGTGACATCTACGTGACAGTATGACAAAATGAAGGACTTTCAGCCTAAAAAGTAGAAGAAAATTGATTCCGGCGGTCGGTCTGTCGTCCTTGTAGGAGGATGGAAGCGAGAGAGGTAGAAGATGAAGACCGAGAGAAGTAAAGGACGACGACCTCTAATTAACCAAGAAACTTGTATTCTTTATTTATTTATTTATTTATTTTTTTGCTTTTTTTCGCTCTTTCTAATATTTTCCACTTCTTACCTATTATGTTGTCTTATAATTTAAAATACAAAAGTTCAAAAATAGATTATAATATCCATAAAAAAGATTTTTTTTTAGTCAAATTTCATCCTAACGTCTGGACATTGCATTTTAATGTATTAAAAGATTCCATGACTATTAATAATTTTTCGATTTGGTATTTCTAATAGGCGTCCATTGAAATTTTACAATATATTTTATATAAAAATAATTCAAATTCAGGGGAGTCCATAGACATCGTTGAATGATATACATGTAGGTTGGCCCTTGTTTTGGTAGGATATTTCAATTCTAATCCAATCTTAAGATCAAAAGCTTGCAACGTAAAAGACGCCATCAAGTCATATTTCGATATTGACAACTGTGCTTAAGATAGTTGTACATAGAAGAAACTTGTAAAATGTAAAATAAATAATACAAAATTCCTAATAAGATTTTCTAGAGTCCCAAAGAAATGATTGTTTTAAAAACGGTTAAACAGGTGACAGGTCCTAAAGTAATCCATGGTGATTAACATCTTTTTAATAGGTTGGAGACAAAACAAATCGAATTTATTACTTGTAAAGTAATATATTATGATTTCAGAACTCGACTAAATATAGATAAACGACAAACTTTTTGTTATCCATGTTACCATAAAATTGACAAAACCCAAAACAATAAGACGTACTTAAATTTAATAACACTTGATGACTTGAAAAGTTGGCATCTTCTTATGCCTTCAAAGAAAAGATAGATGGATTTACATCCTTTTAAAACAAACAACATAAACATAGAAAACTAACGTCAGCAAAATCTTGGAAGAAAGCTTCAGTTCTTGGTCACCAGCATTCATAGAACTTAATATCAACACGAAGCCTAAAGTAAACCTCCCCCTCAAACGCATCTGTCATGAGAGTAGCCACACCTCTAGTCATGAAGAAATCACCCGTTCCACCAATTACTGAAATGTCTCTTGTCTTGTTCATTAAAGGATCAGCACCTGCAAAGTTAATGCTACCCTTATGGGCAGTCGAGTTAAACACAAACGAGAACGCAAGCCATGATGTAAAGATTTCTTTTTTGTCATAGATATAAAGCCCTTGTGCTCTCCCAACAGGGGGTGAGTGCAAGTTGTTGTCCAATGTTATAGGATCATCGAATACAACCACATTCCCAAAATGGTTATTATTTGCTAGAATGGTGTGATTTCCCCAAGCTGGAGCACCTACAATGGCTGAAGTTGCATTCTTGAAGTTCTTGCCATTGTAAATAATGTCGTGGAAATAGAACACCAATTCTTTACAAGGACGATGAGAGCGGGTATTCTTCCTAGGTGAAGCAAAACATCCTAAAATGAACAAGAAGAAGGCTATAAGGAAAAGAGTGGAAATTTGATGCTTAGATCTCATTTTCCAAAAGAGAAAACTAGAATGGTTTGAAGAAATTTTTGTGAAGATAAGCGTTATTTAGTTGTCCTTATATAAGGTTTTTGGATATGTTTTTTTAATGATGGAACCTAAAGACTTGTATACCTTCAAGTTCAAGATTACTCATCATGATTGGTTGCACTAAACAATGGGGACCATTTGTATACATCAAGAATTAATTAGGTGTTCTCTCTTAGTAAGATAATATCTTCTCTCTTTTATTGTTTGTGTTCTAATTTTCGATTTAAAATGCAATGTATTTAGATCTTATGCCATCTTAAAATAACAATGATTAGTATCAAAGATTCAATTATATTCTTGTTGAGTTAATCCAATCTGTAAAATATTTATGATAATGAAATTGACCTTCCATCGAAGAGTTACTAAAATTATGTGAACCCTTTAAGTTGTCATGAAATACATTTGAATATTATTATGAAAATTTCATACATTTAGAGTAATATCATTTTCTTTTAAGCATGTTCTGGTTTCACTACTAAGGTAAAGATGATAAATTTACAACCAATTACTACTTTTTGGCTTAGATTAACAACTCATGTCAGTTGTGCATTAGGTCAACCCACTTTATGTGTTTCGTATGATTACTTCCAAATTTTGTTAATTAGTTCGAAATAATTTCACGAAACAGAAATAATGCTACAGTTCTGTCCGAACGTAATGGATTGCTTATAAAGAGAACTTGTCTTCAAATGTTGAGTAGGTTTATAATACATACTAAAACAAGTTTTTTTTTTTTTCAAATACTATAAATAATTATTATCAAAACTGATCATTTGTATACAAGAAGTTAGTTAGACACAAATATTTTAAAACATCCATCATGAATGAGGATTGTCAATGTTCAAAAATGTGAAACTTGTCAAATAAAGGTTGGGTTCATGCCTACATGGTAAGACCAGTTAACCTGTGCAAACCTA